ATGTTGACCCAACAACCCAACCAATCAGGCAAAAGAGAATATCTATGGATGCAGAGCACTTTAAAGCTCTCAAGGATGAAGTTGATAAAATCCTAAACATCAACTTCATCAAGGAAGTGAAATACCCGGACTAGATCACCAACCCAGTCCTGGTGAAAAAGTCAAATGGCAAGTGGTGGACTTTCGTTGACTTAACAGACTTGAACAAAGCTTATCCCAAAGATAGCTTTCCGCTGCCCCCGGATCGACCAATTAGTAGATAAGACAGTAGGGAATGCACTACTCCTCTTGAACATTAACTTCATCAAGGAAGTGAAATACCCGGACTAGATCGCCAACCCAGTCCTGGGGAAAAAGTCGAATGGCAAGTGGCAGACTTTCGTTGACTTCAATGACTGGAGCAAAGCTTGTCCCAAAGACAGCTTTCCGCTACCTCGGATTGACCAATTAGTAGATGCGACAACAGGGAACGCACTACTCAGCTTCATGGATGTATACTCGAGATACAACCAAATCCCAATGTATCAGCTCGATGAGGACTACATCTCATTTATTACTTATCGGGTATTTACTGTTACAGGGTTATTCCATTTGGCTTGAAGAATGCTAAAGCGACCTACCAGTGTTTGGTGAACAAGATGTTTGTTGAGCAAATATAAAAAAACAATGGAGGTGTATATCGACGACATGCTCGTCAAATCAAAGGTCGCCGAAGGCCACTTTGAGCACTTGGGGAAAATGTTCGACATCCTCAGGAAATATAGAATGAGGCTCAAACCTTTGAAGTATGCTTTCAAAGTAAGCTTGGGAAAGTTTCTAAGCTTCCTAGTAAATCAGCGGGGTGTCGAAGCTAACCCAAAAAAGATCCAAGCCCTCTTGGACATGAAAAGCCCGACTAGCATAAGGTAGGTTCAGAGCTTGACAGGGCATGTGGCCGCACTCAGCAGATTTGTTTCCTAAGCCACAAATAGGTGTCTACCATTCTTCGAAACTCTAAAGGGAAATAAGGGTTTCAAATGGACAGAGGAGTGCAAGAAAGCATTCCAGGAATTGAAGAATTAAGCATCTAAGGCAGCCTCTTTTGCTATCAAAGCCCATCCAGGGTGAGCCTTTGCTTCTATACTTATCGGCATCCAAGTCTACGATCAATGCGGCTTTGGTACGCAAAGAGGTGGGAGTGCAATGGCCAATATACTATGTGAACGAGAGGTTGCTCGATGCTGAGACAAGGTGCCCTGAAATGGAGAAGCTCGCCTATGCACTAGTCATCGCTGCTCGGAAGTTGAGGCCCTATTTTTAGGTGCACTCCATACATGTGCTAACAAACTTTCTGTTGAGGAAGATAATGTAGAATCCTGAGGCATCAAAATTGATCTAGTGGATGATGGAAATGAGTCAGCATGATATCAAGTACATCCCGAGAACAACAATAAAAGTTAGGCTTTGGCAGACTTCATTTCAAAATTCTCCTATCGGCCCAAGGGAGAAGTAAACCCACCTACCATGTGACTAGAGACAGCATAACAACATTAGGAGATCGCACAATGAAAAATATACATTCAAGATTAATAATATAAGAATAAAATCACACCTCACAAAGAGATATGATATTTACGTGGTTTGGCATAATCCGTCTACATCCATGGATGAGAGAAATCTACTATAATTTTATGAACATGATATAAAAAAGTATCCAACTCCATAAACCTAGTACATAAAACAGAATGGAAACAGCCATAGTTTCTAACCACACTCAGCCTAGTACCTAGAGTGGAAACGATCCATTTCTAAAACACTCTCCCTATGGTGTTTATTAATAACCCTTACATTAAATAAAATGTTTTCTCACATTCTCTCATAACCTTGAATTGGTTCTCACCCCTATATTTATAGATAGAATATGGGATATTCTATTTCTAGTAAGATTCATATTTCAATTCCTAATAGAACTCCTAAATTCTATTCCTATTTATAATTGTATTTTTATTAAATAGTTTTCCTAAAGTTATAACAAATATGAAAGTGAGCCACAATATCCAAACATTTCTTTACGATTCTATATTCAACTAGTTTGAACAATAATTAAAGGATGTGATCACTACATAAAAAGCTACATGCATCAACACTAAATCTAACGCCGGAACTTAGCATCGGTAGAGTTGAAATACACCAATGTAACCATAATGTCGGGGCACATATATAATAACCTAACGCCGTCAATATCGGTGTGGTCGTATTTCTCTGACACAATGACTTCAACTGTAAAAATTAGATTAATGTCTTATTTGATCAATCAAAATTGAGTTAGCTATTTTATCTGAAATGTGTGGTAAATGTAATAAAATATTATTGATATATAGATGTGAAATGTGTGTTTGATGTCAACCATATAATGATCAGATTCTCCTAATTAAGAAAAATCTCACCCTGCCCTACATAATTATATAACCAATTGACTAATTCTATATAGTTTCGTCCACTGTAATACAATTGATAGTTAAACGAAATATATGAATCATGACATAACTTTGTCAAAATCTAATCACCTTTCCAATATGATGAAACTTTTTCAATGGCCATATTATCGAATAACTGATATAATATGACTAATTGCATGGCCATGGCCTACACCAAAAGCAGAAACAAACGAAAATGTTTTCAACATCAATTCTCTTATAGCATGTGCCATGCATGTTCTTTTGTTGGATTTCCTTATCAATTACAGCCGGAAAATTCGGGAGGTCCATTATTGATTATGACATTTCAAATTTTCAATTATTATATCAAATTATTTTTAGATTTTATTCTTCCAACTTTTCATGCAATAAGTCTACCTTATGATGCTATATTTTCACACTTTGTGGCCGACACACCCCTTGTTCACACTTTTCTGCTTTCTTATTAAAGTTGAAAATAATGAGGTTGGTGTGATGCCCAAAAATGCTTTCTTGTTATATCAATATGTAATATAGCTAGTTTTATAAAGTACTCCAAATCTTAATACCATTTTACCCTTTAATATTGAGAATGCTATATATGTATATATATGTGTGTGCGCAAAAAGTCGTCTTAGGTCTGACGAGGCCCAATAACGAAATAAATATGTCACGACTCAACGCCTTAGCCCAAATTCAGTTGGGCCTACGCTTAAAATCACTTTGTGAACTGCCCACTCTATGAGTTGAGCTACCCTACAAGTTAAGTTAAATTGAGTTATCGGCCCATTAGCCTACAACAGTCCATAAATAAAAAAGCGGAATCTCATTCTAACTCCTCTTCTACTAAGATCCTGAATCTTACCGAAATTAGTAAACTTAATATAATAAAGACAAGAAATCATATTGCTTTCCTGATAGTGATTATCTCCTAAAGTAGGACTCAGTGTCCTACTAGGATTCCAACCCCTTGGGTTCACTATATAAACAAAGGTCTACCCTCTCATGAGGGGATCTCGAATAATCAATATCGACTACCCAAAATCACCTCTTTACGCCTAAATTCTTGCTCCCAAGAATTCAACACCTTCGCTGTAATCTTGGCCTTCGACAAGACTCTTGGTAATCTTTCTTTTCCTAATTCTCATTAAATTGTCTCTTTTAGCCTTGTTGACTTGAGCGTCGGAATGCTTACGGCAAACACCACCCTGGTATTTTCGTAAGCTTCACGCTCGTCTCTTTGTGTGTGTAAGTTCAGCGGATTGTCAGTGGCCTCAACCTCACAAGATCAGACCCTATTTCTGCAACCGTAGATTTATATATATATATATATTTAATTAATCTCTCGGGATTCTGGAACTACCGACTGGATAAGGGTTTCAGTGGCTACCCCTAGTAGAAACCAAAAAAGGACTCAAACTTAGAATCTCTTAAGTAATACATCTAAGAGTCCCTATCAAACTACTCAACCACCCAAAGGTCGTTAATGTTGTTATATTTTAGGTTAGACATAAATATAAATTATAATGTTGGAGTTTTACCAAAACAAATTAAATCTTTAGATAAAGCCAAATTAATGTTTAATTTATATATGCAAGTGTAAACGCGGTTAGACATTATTTAAGGTGGCCCTCAAGTAAAGGTCAATTTATTGTCGGCCCATAAATCATAACAATAACTAATCATTATAGCATGGTGCTCATCATCCTCCTATATTTATTAATTACTCCCATTTGTAATTACGGGTTATAACTAGTAGGATTAAGCTTAAGGCAAACTTTTTTTATTTTTTGAGTGGCCCTGATTCTAGAAGAGGGGTGTGATTGAAAAAACCAAAACATAAAGGATCTATTTGTTGTAAAAAATTTAATACATTTGAGCCTGACACATCATGTTTGCTAGTGTAGATAAAGTTAAAGATATATAAATATAGAAGAAGCAAGTGGGTTGTTATTTAACTAAAATTATTTGCATATTCTTCTTGAAAATCTATATTTATTTGACCTCTTGGACAAGAGGGAGCAATACTTGTTGATTACGACTGAGGTTCGGTCCTTTATCCTTTGATGCTTTAGTTAGTATTCAATGTTAGAAGTTCTGGAGAAGCTTTCAGCTATAACAAATTTAAGAAGAGTAGAACTAGAGATTGTCTTCATGGGTTCTTAAATAAACCATACAATATTGCAGTTTGAGCAGACCTTTGTGGCTTGTGAGAAGAGTAACTCAACAACTTGGTACTTTGTCAAATTTAGGCATAGCAAATATACTTTTAAACGGTAAATAGTGCAAATTATATAAGGATTTTAGGGTGTCATTTGGACCATCTAATCTTCCAGGAGCTAAAAAAGAGTAATAATTTCAGATTTAGTAGTTGATCAAGCATTAACCCAGAATTTATATCAAAAGAAAAATAGTCGAAGTGGGTAGAATCTAAATAAAACAAAAAGTGAAAACAAGCTTAATTCACAGTTTAAATCATCATATAATCAGCTGTATCTGATTTCTGATGGTTTCAAAGCATGGCTGATACTGTTACAACTTACAACAATGGTGGCGGAGTTTAAATATATTTCCCTTCATTTAGTGAATACACAAATCTGATTTCTGGTCTATTAATAACAATGAAACTGTGAGAGCTCGATTTGCCCTGAAACCATTCTTGAACCTGCATTCTCTCGGTTGAATGACTTCTTCCGTCGTTCAGTTCCAGGCTTCTTTAGTCAGCTTCTTCCGTTGTTCAGTTCCAATCTTCTTTAGTCAGCTGCCTCTAATACTGGGTCTGGGAGGCTCTCCAGAACCTGTGTATTTTGTAGGTTATCAAACCGAATATTCAGGGATCCGATTTGGTTTATTTTACGTTGCTTCTTATCTAAATCTATTAGTTTCCTCTTTATTTGTAACAGTTCTTTACTTGGGTGGTTGGAATCTTTCCATTCCGTACATATATGTTCTAAAGCTATTTGAAATAAATAAAACGGATGGAATTTTTGAAACGACAATTGATATCTTTATTAAATTAGCTAAACAAAGTAGTTGTAGGTACTATTAAGCTAATTAATATAAACGCTGTCGCATTCTTATAAAAGAAGGTGAAATGGTGATTGTTGATTACCTGATAGAGATGCCATGAAGCAAAAGCATCTGTTCCAGCATACTGTATTTTCTCCTTTGTTAAAACATCTGCCTCCCAGTTTCCCAGTCTGATTTTGTTGGGCTTTGGAAGCTTCAAAGTTCAAGAAAATTAGCTAAGATTTCCCAAGAAAACTGTTCAAACTTCTATCTGCATACCAGATTTCATTTTTAAACAATACAAGACATTATAACCGGGAGGAAATTCATAGAATATTCCAGTTAATTGTCAAATGAATAATTAACAGTTTCTGTGATATAAAAATGTGTAAATCTGCAGAATAATTGTCAACTTTAACATATTTAGGGTCACGACCAGCAACTGCAACAAGAAAAAAGGATGAAAGAAACCACAGAGAAAGAAGACTTGGGAGAGAGAGCATGAACTTCAAAATCTCTGCAACTTTATGTTAAGGAGAAAATGGCAGTGTGGTAGGTAAAACATATTAGCCATTACTAACCTCCCACATGCAAAAATCTTTATCCAACATACACCCAGCTTCATTCACATCTTGTGCAAAATTATTACAGTTAAATGCCAGGTATGATTTTTAGTCAGCGAATCTAAAAATCTAAATTATGTGGATCTTTTTGAATGTTTTGCATAATGACTATCAACCTGACCAGTGCAAAGTGTATACATGTAATCAACTACAGAGTACTATCTTGCAACAAGAAAATTTAAAATACCTTCAGATTACAACATTTCATTTCATCTACAGACATGGGCCAACTTAGGTAGGCATTTACACGTTGATGATGCATGAAAAGTGAAAACCTTATGGAATACAAGAAAGAAAACTTAGTCCAAAAAATAAAAAGGCCCTCTATATTTGACAACTTATGCAGAGAATTTTTCATGACAACAAAATATCAGTGTTGAATGACAACATGTTCAGGGGCAATAACATCTAGGCTAGCTTGGCATATGTTACTTGAATATTGCTGCTTGAAAAAGCAGGTGGCAAGAAGACACTTAAAGTATATAGACAGGACTGTCTTTTCAATTATCTAGAGGGACTCAGATTGAATAATTTAAAGAGTTTCCACAAACAAAGTAAACAATAACCAGTCAGGACAAAAGAACATAAGATCCACGGGTAAAAGAAAAATGAAAAAAAGATGGAAATGTAAATCTATCCAGATAGGCATCGTGTTTAAGACTCAAATCCACCAAGATTCGTTCAGCAAAACTGGATATGTACCTCTTTGCAAACAAGCGTCTCAGTCAGGGATGCAAGACTCCATTTTTGAGAGCTTCCACCAAGCTTTTGATTTGCTCGACAGCGAAGATCCTCCACACCTTTAACACATACATTATAATCCTTAGAAACTTTAGCAGCATCATTGACAATTCCAACTCCAACCTGTAAATGTCAAGCTTCATGTTAAAACTATCAACTAAATACACAATGCAGGAACCCCTTTAGATGCAGAAACTTAATGCAAGAAATGTTACAAACTTTTAAAAGTGAAGAATCCTCAAGGAGAAACTTCAGGCTTGGAGGGATTCCAGAATGAATAATATGCATGACATAACAATGACCGGTGTCACCACATATCTGCATAACAGCAGCCTTTCCTGGTAAAACACCTGCAAGATCAAGACTCGCAAAAATGATAGTCCATAAATCAAATAACAAAAATTCTAATTCATCACATTATTGTTATAAGCATCCAAAAGAATAATTCTATATAGATGTACATATATATCATAAATATTTCACTTAAAACTGATATTTAATGTGGTGAACTCAGCAAATCTATGCAACTTTGAATGAAGATAGATAAATGGTTGAAAATATGCATCTAACCTAAGATCAAGGTCCTGTATCTATATACCATCTACAATAGAGTCTAAAATAAAGTTTGGCACATATGGCAGTCAACAGCATTTTCACAGAAGACTGGTGGTACTGAATTCCATTTAACTATACGTTAGACCAAGTTTTGGAGATGTAAATATATTATTATAAATTCAGTTACTACTTTTTTCCAGACAAAAGGACCATTGCCTAGTGTAACTCTATGAGTCTTGGAGTAGTAATTACCAAGCACAAGGACAGATGCATAAAGTTACAAAAGAAAAAAAAAATAAAGGAAATCCTTATAGGATTACATGAATGCATCGATCAGCACAAATTGAACAAAGGATTAAAGTGCAAAAAGAAAAGCCGTAATACCTCTTCTGAACGAGGGTCTCCATTCAATATCAAACCCTATGGCAACTTGATCTGTTTCCTTTTTCTTTGCTTCAAGAACCTGTAAAAGCTCCACTGCAGCTTTCTCTACCTCTACTGATGTTCTGCTATACAAAATCTGACCTCCAAAACTTAAAGTTTGATATTTCATCCTTAAATTTGCTGCTAGTGAACGAAATAAACATAGCAACATTACAATCCAATCCTCCTTTCTCTACTACAGCTTAAGTTAACATGTTGCAAAAACATGTGTTTTATTAAATATTTAGAACAATGCTAAATTCTTACCAAAAAAAAAAAATTAAAAGGCTCATTTGAAAATAATAATTACAAGGCTATCTGAACCTTAATTCCAAAAAATTTCCCAATTTGACAATAAAGAAACTCAATAACCAATAGACACTACAATTAACTAATGACTAAAAAACCAATACAACTAATACAAATTTAGCTGTGACCATCCAGTAACGTTAACGGGAACACAAATCGTAGCCACATATTACAAAAACATGTGTTAATAAATATTTTACATTAATGGTGAATTCTAAAACAAAAGTTGAAGTCCTAACTAGAGCAGGCAGGCAACAATACACTAGTAAACAATAATTCCAAGGCTATCTGGAGCTTAATTCCAAAAATTTCCTAATTTGAGAATCAAGAAACTCTAACCATAAGACACTACAATTAACTAATGATACAACTATACAAATTTTGCTGAGTTACCATCCAGTAACGTTAACGGGAAAACGAATCCTAGCTACATGACTTCCAGTATATCAACTTTGTGTGCTGCAGCTCGAATAATGTTGAATCCAATTTACTGTTAAAACTCAAAATTATAATGTTATACATCCCAAATAGCATCTCGAAAATCATTTCGCTGTCATTAGTGGACGATACTACAAATTATTTGAACGCCAAAAAGCTAGTAAAATAAAGAAATGAAGAGACATTTCGCAATTATTACCTTGACAAGGTGAAAGTGAAAATGAAGGTGAAGAAGGCGAAGCGAGAACGGAAGAGGGTAAGTGACGGCGAGTTCTGCGGCGGGGTTCTTGAGTGTGATCGGCTCTGGTGCTTCTTTTCTTGGTGAAAGAGGCTTCAATTGCTTCGATCGTTTGGAGTTCTTGGTCAGTCAAGGGTTCTTGGAGATCCATTCTTTTTTATTTGTTTTTAGTTTGGGGGGGTATGTTTGGAGGGAACAGGGGATTTCAACGAGTTCTTCGGGTTGAAGGAAAGGAAACTTTTAAAGGGTCCAATTAAGCTTCAACGAAAAAATCTAATTTCGATATTGATTGGTGTTTAAAGAGATATATATTTATTTTTTTGAAATAAAAGGCTGAATCAATTTTCCCACCCAAAATTTGGCCAATGTATATTTTCCCACCCACGATTTTATTTTTAAAAAATTCCCACCCATCATTAAAATTCAAACGTTATTAACGGTGGAACAACATTCTCGTCACTCGTAGTCGTCAGTTTGCACAATACATATGATAGGGTTAATATCACTTACACTCCTAAAATATAAAGAGATAAAAATGGCATTCACCAACTTGGGGAATTACCTTAGACCCCCTATTTTCAATTTCTACCATTAAAATGCAGGTTTGATCGTGATTGACTGTTGAAATTACATATATGTCCACAAATTTTTTAGGCTACATTTTACCCCGGTACTTTCACTTAAAGTATTTGTTTCTATAAAAAAAATGCAAAAAACTTTTCATTTGTAATAATATCTATAAATTAAATAATTATATAACTACAAAACAAGTTTTCATTACAATTGTAATTTTTAAAAAAATATAGATTTTATGAAATTGTATAAAAATATAATTTCCAAAAAAGAGAAAAGAAAATTGAAAATTTGAAAAAAAGAAAACAAAAAATTCAAAAAAAAAAAGAATTCAAAAACTATAAAAAAAAAAAAAAGAGAGTCATTTTTTCAGCCAGATCGCACCTGTCTTGGTGCAATTGACTTTTTATTTTTATTTTTGTAAATTTTTTATTTTATTTTTAACATAAAAACTGACTTTCTTTTGTTCAAAATTTGTTAATTTATTAATCCTAAAATTAATAAAAACCAAAGTAAGGGTGACAAATACATTTAATAAAGTTTGGTGGGAAAATGTTACTAAAAATTACAAAGTCAAACAGTAAAAGGTATTATGATCTTTTGACCGTTGTACCCTTATTAAATAACACATTTCATTGATGGAGAATTGACGATGGGTGGAAAAATGTACATTCGCCAAACTTTGTTTAAGAAATTGTCAATATAAAACAAATGAATTTAGCAATAAAAGGTAGTGACAAATTATTATTTATTTATTTTTATTTTTTGGTAAGTAAGCTTTGGGGTACCGATAAATTAGATAAGGGTTAAACATCACTTCCCATGATTTATTGCAATCCAAAGGGTTCCAATTTAAGATCACTCAATTCAACAAGGCTATTTAGGCGGTGGATTAAGCAATTTATTGAAGTAACTATGAGCTGTGCTTTCTTAAATCACAAAGCAATGACCTTTATACAGTGTAAGTTAACTAGTTGTTTCTTAATAGATGTGTGACTACCTCTCATACAAATATTAGCTTTTCCATGTAATATATTTCACGTTAATTAAGTAAGACAATAAACATGTAACATATAATCCCAAGAACTTACAATTTTCACACTGTTAAATGCAATTAGGAAAAACATACACTTGAAGTCACCAGTGATGATAAAAATTATGTTTCTCTCTTGGCTGCTCTTATTTTATTATATTTTCTGTAACCTTGAATGATGGAGAGTGTTGAGCTTTCATGTGTTTTAATGTGTCAAAACTAATCAAAATGAGTGATTAATTAACTAATAGTGTGCAAAGATATGACATAAGTCATAACCAAAACTAAAATGCATAATGTTTAGGTGGAATGACCATCCAAGCGCATGGAACGCCCATTCCATTCAGTTTTTTTGGAAAAAAATCTCCAGTCAAGCCGTTCCATTTTGAAACGACGTCGTTCCTTAACCACATTCACAATTCTGTCCAAAATGAAATAAACATCCACTCCAGTTAAAACTCAAGTTAGAAAAGGAACGACCGTTCCAGAAAGCTGTTCCAAAAAAGATATGGAAGAAGACATATGAAATTATCTTTAATATACTTAATACAGGTGGATTTAGTTAGAATGATGAGAAAAAAATGCATTCAAATTGATAGCGATAAGGCATGGCAAGCTTATGTTCAAGTGAATTTTTTTTTCTTCTATTATGTGATTTGGTTTTCTATAGTGAAAAATGCTTATAATGATTAAACTAATATTATTACTTTTGTTCCAGAATCATAAACTTGTTGAAACACAACCATGCCCTTTATATGAGAGGTTAGCAAAAATATTTGGAAATGTTCGTGCCATTGGAGAAGGTGTAGAAACACAGAAACACATGTTGAAATAATGGTAGTAAATGAAATTGATGAGAATCTTGAAAATGAATTTGGAATAGATGAAGGGTTGTATCTGATGGAATTGATTGACTGCTGAAGTTATGCCTTAATTGAGGCTTGATTCCAGCAATTACATTTCAATCAATCTCCCTAAAAATATGTAATTAGAACATTAACACGGGATTATATTTTCTATTTTACATTTACATTTTTTTTTTTTTTTTTTGTATAAATTTAACGATGTACAAGGTATACAAATGCAATATATAGAAATTACCTTCTCCTAAATTCTTTCCTGGCATACTCTAACAATCTTTAGTTCTTCTCTGCCGCTCTTGCCATCTACTTTTTATACTCTAACATGGTATCAGAGCAACTCTCTTAATAATTTGCTTCTGTTACTCTTGAATCTAGCCATTATTTTATGTCCCTATTTTATGTCCCTACAAACACACAAATACTCGGTTAGATCTCTTCCAATGAGAAACAACCAGAACTCAAACCATACAAAAACACCACAAACACAAGTCCACAGTGAAACAGCAAACCAAACAACCAGCTAGACCTAGGCATTTGGGATTGGTCCCAAAAATCCGGCCCAAAGGACTGGTCCTTGTAGGGTTGGTCCCAAACCGGACCAGGCCTATGGGAGGAGGGACCCGTCCCTTGATCGGGCCTTCCTCCAAGGCCCGTGCTGGGATTGGTCCCAAGCTTAGGCACAAACCCATTTACTTAATTTCAAAATAGTCCTTTGTAGAATACCCAAAAACCCCCTGATAATTTTAAAATTGACAAAATTATTAAAGGTTAAATTGATATTTTACAAAAAAAAAAACAATTAATACAGCACATGACCGTTGGTTGCCAATCCTACACTATAAATAATCCCTCACACTACCAATTTTTTTCGCACCAACTCTCAATCTCTCATTCTCTAGATCTCTCTACTCCAATCCAATTCATATTCATATTTTCTTCAATTCAATTTATATTTATAATTTATAATTTATTCATATTATTCATTTTTTTTTTATTTTTCAATATCATCTCTTATTCATATTATTATTTAATTTATTTATTATTTTATCATAAATTCATAATGGAAGGGTCAAATGAGTTCTACGTTCCATCAACCGAAGAAATTAAAGGGTTCGATCCATTTTTACCCTTTCCAGAGGCAGCTGCTGCAATTCAATGACAACAACCACATTTAGCCAGGACGGGATGTAGGCAAACACAAGCGAGCTGCGACTCCATGACCCAACCCCCCCCGACCATCAAAGAGGGTCATGTCCGATGTATGGCGACACTTCACTAAATCAAAACGGGCAAAGGAGAATGGGGAGGGGAAAGAATCGTGCGGGGTATGTAATTTATGTGGAACCGTTATTGGCGCTAAAAAGGGGGCTTCGATGATGCAACGACATTTGGAGAAGAAGCACCCCCAAGTAATGCAGTTTTCCAGTTCATCTTCAACCGGACCAGGTAGGCAAATTCAAACTCAACTTAATTTTAATCCACAATCCTCAACTCTGTCAACATGGTAATACAATGCACTCAAAGCACGAGAGGAAACATTAATATACATAGTTGCAATGAATTCTCCAATTTCTTTATCTGAAAATCCTTTTTTTATTCACTTGATTAAAACTACATTTTGTCCAACATATACCACTGTTAGTAGAAGTACATGTAGAAGAGATATACTAAAACTTTATAACCAAATAAATATTCAACTTAAAAATGAATTTCAAAATTTTAAGAATATATCTATTGCACTTACTTCAGATATATAGGCTTGTAGATCAAAAACAAATTTTTTAACCGTCACAATACATTACTCAGATCATGGTTGGGGTTTACAAAAAAAATTGATAGGTTTTAGACCATTATATACTGCACATAATACTGACACTATTTATTTTACAATACTTGAAGTTTTGCAAGAATATGTATTAACTGATAGAGTTGTAGCGCTAACGCTAGATAATGCCGCGACTATCTCTTTATTTGAAAAGAGATTGGATCCACGTGGTGAAGGAAAAAAATTTCACCAGAGATGTGCTTGCCACATCATTAATTTGATTGTTAAAGCAGGTTTAGAAGCTATAAATTCGAAGATTGAAATGGTGCGCGCGGCTATCGGATTCATCGTCGAGGATAGCAACAAAAGATGGCAGGAGTACATCAAATATTGTAAGCAAGAGGATCTACCTATTCTACTTTTTGAAGTTATGTATGGACATGTCTATCCGTTGAAACTCCACCTACTTAATGTTGGAAAAAGCTTTGCCAAACACAACACAAATTACAGATTTCGTCAACCGGAATAATCCATAGGAAGTTGTCAGCTATGATGATTGGACGGTTTGCGAACTTTTTTATTCATTTCTTAAAGTTTTTTACGAATCTACCAATACATTAAGTGGTTTTATTATTCTACTACTAATTTAGTGTTAGATATTTTACTTCAAATTTCTAAAACTTTTGCTAAATATAGATATAATGACGTCTTAATGGAAATTGTTTCAAAGATGGGAAAAAAAAAAAAAGGAGAAATATTGGTTAAAAATTCCATTCTCACTACAACATTATAGACATATAGCTACGAAAATTAGCTACAAAGAGGAAAACTGTAGCAAATATATATTTACAATTACAAAAGTCAATATTTATAGCTAATTGAAATAATTTTAGTGATAAGATTTCCTCCCTCGAAGCTAATATTCATCTTTTACTTTAATTTTTTAAAATTGTGGTAATAACTATTCATTTAGCTACAATGTATTAGCCTACAATGTATTAGCTATGGCAAAACATTGT